ATCCTCAGCGAGGCTTCTTCTGCGGCAGCCTTCAGGTATGTCATTATCTCTTGACAAATTAGCTCTTCCATTATCAACATGATTTATGCATGGAAGCTTGCACTACACTGCAATCTTTTGAGCCCTCAATTATTTATTTATTTATTTATTGTTTTTAACAGTAATAGGATAATATGTTCAACCCCTCACCGTGGGATCATTTGCGACGAACATAGATAGGCCGCCTTGAATTGGTCCAATTCTGATAATAGTCTCACCTGATGGAAATGAGTCTTCATAATGATCAAAATCCTGCAAGCTGTGCAACTCCAGAAAAGACGAACAAGGGTTGGTATGTCGGTAGATCCGCTTTAGGGGTAATAGCTTATTTCGGCTTTAATTTCTCCTCACAGATTCGACTCCCCTTCCATAGAGGACCTTCTGAATGTGTGATCGGAGATGGTAAAGGAGGCTTTTGATTGTGGCAGATTTGCGAGAGAAGGCTTCTGAGCTTTGGTCCACACCATCTGGGAGCACAGCGGAGCTAAGTGGCATCCATTTATGCCCAGGTCTCAAAGAGGGAAGTGGAAAGGCTGGCGAGAGGTAGCTGCGGGAGATAGGAGCAGCAGTGCAGGGTGTTTTGCCTGTTATGGGAGGAGAATGACAGCTTGGAATCGTGAGGGAGAAGTGAGAGCAGGAGGGCACCAACTTTATGTGGCATGGAGTTGTTGGGCTCCTTTGGCAGGAGATTTTGAGGGTGGCATGGAGTTGACTGCAGGTTTTGGTTTGCCGAAGGTGATCGTGAGATGCGAAGACAGGTTGGAGTTTCATGTGCTGGACCGAGCAAGGAGAGTGCTTGTTTGCATACGGGAAGAGTGGATCGCCGGTGGGGAGAAAAGGGGTTTTCCAACAAGAGATAGGGTAGCTTGTTGGCGATGGGGTTGCTGCCGGTGAGGAGAGATGGGGCAGAATGAGGTATGGCCTTAGATTTTTTTTTTTTTTTTTTTTTTTTTTAATGGAGACCAATTAAATGAAAGTCCGCTGTGACAGATGAAAGTGGGAAAGAGAAAAATTTCACCGGTGAATTTGTGAGGTAAAATTATTTGGGGAGCGAAAGATTAATGTCAGGTATTTTTGCAAATAAAAATATGAAATTCTCCCTCCCACCTTTGAGAGCAGTTTCATTGAGATAATACTTGGCAAGAAAATTATTGCAAATTAATTCTCTTTGAATTGGGATAGCTTAATTATTATCTAATTAATATTTAATTTAATGAAAATTATTGAGGAAATATTTAAATTTGAATATGAATATTATATATTATTATATATAAATATAAATATTTATTAGTATTATCATATAAGTGCATAAATTTATATTAAGTTTAGATAATTTTATCCCGATTCGGATGTGAAAAGACTCGTTTTAACCATCTCGACGATTTGAACGCGCTTGTGCGGTTCATTTCGTAAAACGATGCACCAATAAAAATGTTTTATGGGGGCAAAAAATCATGTAATGAGATTTTATGTGCATGAACCCACCTAAAAATGAATGTTGAAATTCGATCATATTTACTCATGGAACACATATAGGGGTCAGCATGCATAATATTAAGGCCTTCTCTTGTTATGGGGAAACACTTTTTTGGAAATCTTTGATTTACAATAATATAATTATTTCGTTTGGAAATTATCTCAATTTTTTTACTGAATTTTTAATGTAAAAGATTTTGTCATTTCTATGCTACTTCTTGTTTATCTTTGTATGTGCATGATCTGTACATAACTAAGATGTTAACAGGCCATTTGGGTTCATTTTTTATTTTTTTATCTTATCCTTTTAGTTCTTGTTTATTATTTTTTTATTTGAAATAAAATTTCTTAGGTGCCTTCAAATTTATTTTCTTAAAACTTTTATTGAAAATTAAATAAGTTGATTTAAGTGGGTAATGACTGGTGAAACAATAATGGTGGTGGTTGACAGCCAATGATAGCTAAAGTTGGCAATGATAGTTAATTTTAAAAACATTCATGATACGTAGAAATTTTGATGATTTTTTTAATCAATTGTTTTATTTTTAAAATAGTAAATAAAAGGATAATTTATGTATGTAACATAGAATTCTTATGTATTTTCATATCTCACACTAAAATTTTGATATTTATCTTCATACCACTATTATGCATGAAAATGTGAATTTGATTTGTGAACAATGATAATTAGTGATAGTTTTGATATTATACGAAAGAATTGAGTGGTATGCCGGTAAATGTGAAGATTTGGATGTGAGATATGTATATACAGAACAATTGTGTACTATGTATGTAACTTCCCCTAAATAAAAACATGTAAAAAATTTAATTAATAAAATATCAATAAAATTATTAGCATAATCAAAATAATATCGTTGTAGGGTTACTAGAAGATAGTTTAAGAAGCTTGTTTTGTGGGGAGATAGTGGAGGAGGAATAGTAAGGAGATGAAAACATGGGTAATCAATGATATTTGAAAGGGGATAGAGGCAAAATCTGTGGCTGAAAACAACAAAGAAAATCATGAAAAGTCATGGTATAGATGTTAAGGAGGTTTACCCCCTGTTCCTCTATATGTTACAGACACACCACTTGCAAAAAGGAAAAAGATACATCATTCATGGGGGTA